TGGTTATTATACAACCTTTGACATTTGTACAACCAATACAACTCAATCTCAACCGTCCATTTCATTTGATTAATATATGATTTCATAGAAGTTTATATTATTTTCTAATATAAAGTATCGATCATAATTAATAAACCATATTCATCTTCTATAAATATTCAAATCATAATAAATGAACTCTCATCATTTTCATAAATATCTCAATATATGAGGTTGCATTGGTTATGCAAATACAAGAAGTTATATTTGAAACAAACTATATATATATATATATATATATATATATATCAAAATCTTATCTGCCACACGTTGACATTAAGATATAAAACATATATATATGTTTTCAGAGAGTATACATTATTTAATGAAGTTCTTTAAGAGACGACTCTCATAAAAGTGACACTCTTAATTGTTAACTCATAGTGGTTCATGGTTAAAAGCTATTGCTATGGTGAAACCATTGTCAGGGTAGTCGACCCCATTCGAATCAACGCCTAGAATTTGAATTATTGGTAAATTCTGTTTCTTTATAAGTAATTGAGTAAACTTTAATTTTAATTGGCACTTGAGGTTTGTTTAAAAAAATTGAGATGGGATTTGAATTTTGATAAGTTTTCTGATGGAATTGGAATGTTGAATTATATCGACCAAATTTTATTCTTTCGTTTGGTTCATTTTTTTTTACGAAATGAATCTTTAAAATCCTATAAATTCCATAAATAAAGAAATTTACTGAGCAAATACACGATATTTTGATTGAATGTAATTCTCTGTTCTCATAATATCAAATATACCCTTAACCCAATATTAGAGTTGTTCAAGGGCGGGACAACCCGTTAAACCCGGCCCACTAGAAATACGGGCTTGGACAACCATTATCGAGAAAATGGATGGGCACGGGTTTGGTCGTTAAAATTAATTGGCAGGCATGGGCAATGAAAAAATAAATATGGACAGCCCGTCCAGCCCGTTTATATTTTATAATTAATATTCTTTTACCATTAATTAAAATTATACTAGTATATTTTAAAATTAAATTATTAAAGTTATAGGATGAGACTCTTTGGTTATTCTTGATAACTCAAAAGGCTAAGGGGTTGTTTGTTTACCTCATAATGATCTTACTAAGAGGTTCAACTATGAATCGTTCAATAAGGCTCTGAGCAATTATTCATCTTAGGCCGCCACCCCAAACCTTTAGAGGCATCCGAGTTCCTAGATTGCCCTTGCCACCCTCTCACTCCCCTATTCATCTCGTTGATTGCGCTATGATTCATTGTTGTTTCTCGCTCATTCCAAACTCTCGATTATAAGTTGGACATTTCAAGTTTATAGATTTATAAGAGTTACTTTTTTTGGTTCTACATTTGTTAATTAGCTGTTAGTGATCAAGTTTATAGATTTAATAAGAGTTACACTTTTTAAGTCCGTTAGCTTGTGGGCAAGCCCAACTCGTTTATAAGGCGGGCAATGTCAAGTTGTCAAGCCCGGAAAAAAGGCTTGTGTTTATAATATTAGGCCTGTTTGGACAAAATACCCCGGGCCCGCAAATGATCACCTCTACCCAATATACCCTAATCTCGTAACACCCAATATGACCATCGTCGACCACCTTCGACCACTGCCAATCTGAACCACCGCCCACCATCACCATCTGAACAACCGCCAACCATCGTCATCTGAACCACTGTCGACCATCACCACCGACTACCACATATATGAACTACTGTTAATTTGAACCACCGCCGACCACTACCGATCTGAACCACCGCCTATCTGAACCACCACTGGTCTGATTCATCGTCGATCTAAACCACCTTCGATTACCGCCATCTAAACCACCAAGGACCACTACCAATCTGAACCATTGTCAACATCTCTATCTTAACCACCACGGACCACCATCGATCAGAACCACCGCCAACTACTACCGATTTGAATCATGGTCGGCCACCGCCAATGTGAATCACCATCGACAATTAAGGATCTGAATAACCACGTGTCTGATCTATCACAGATCTAAACCACCCCCAATCTCAACCACAACCAATCTGAACCACCGACGATCTGAACCACATCCGACCACGCCACCTAAAGCACCACGGACCACCACCGATCTAAACCACTGTCGACCACCAACGACTACCACCGATCTAAATCACCGTCGGGTACCACTAACGTCGATGATCTGAACAGCCTCCGATCTGAACCACCGTCCATGTGAACCACCGTTAACCACCTCCATCTAAACCACTGCAGACCACCATCGATCGGAATCACTGCCGACCACTGCCATCTAAATCACTGTGAACCATCACCGATCTGAACCACCATAGACCATCATCGATATGAACCACCGCCGACCACCGTTGATTTAGTAACGTCGTTTGCCTTATGGTTATATTTGGGTTGTGTATTTTATATTGTTTTACATATTAAATAATTATTTTATTAAAATATTTTTAATTTTAAAAAAATTAAAATGTTCAATAAAAGACATTTTGGTCATTTATCAATATTTCATTCAAATTCCAAAGTTACATTCTGTGAACGAAACAGACATATTCCAATTCATTAACAGATTCCATACCAATGTTTGTCAACCAAACGGATAGTCAGATTTGACAACATTTCATTTCAATTCGTTCAAAGTTAAATTCCTTTAATAGATTTCATTTCATACAAAAATATTATGTGAACCAAACACCAATCTAAAAATGGTTCTTGTCCTAACTCTCTTTAGTTTCTCCATTAGAGAGGGATGTAATATATCATCGAAATGTTTATTTTTCTTTTAGAAAAATGACATATAATAATATTTTATATTATTTTTTTTCCAATTTTGTTTTTTTAAATAATTAATATATATATATATATATATAATGTTTTTATATTATATTATAATATAATTTATATGTTTGTATGTATATATATTTTTATATAAACTCATGTCTTTCAAAATCGGTCTAATCACCTTCTTTGGCTAAAAAACGCTCACTATCTCCAACCAAACACAAAGTATGTAAACACACCTGTGGACAATCTCCGACCACGAAATTGAAGAAAAAAAATGATATAAAATTGTCCCTATGGTTGTGTGTGTGTGTGTGTGTGTGTTTTGCACCGGATTGGGGTTTTCAATGAAGAAAAACTTCTAGCTCCGGCCAGATCAGAGATTTCGTTCCTATGAGATCCTATCCATGTGGTTGTGTGTGTGTTCCGTTTGTGGAGGGAAGGGAAAGGGGAAGTGAAGGTTTAGCTTGCAATGGGGGAGTGAAGATTTGGCCGATGGTGTAATGGCAAGAGGGTCCCTTGGAGATTATATATATAGGGCTTAATGTTTTAAGAACTCTACAAATTATGAGATCCATAAAATCCAATGCAAGTAACTCATTGTTTGGTAATTTAATTAATGATAAGAGGGTGATTTGGTAAATTTGTAAAATGGTGATCGACAACTAATACTTTTGTTATATTTTGCATTATCCTTTCTGTCCTAATTTAAAAACCCTAAATTGTATCCCCTTTTTCTTAAATCTAAAATATAGAAAAATGAACTCTAAAAATCGACTGCACCTCAATCTCAAATTTGTAATTTAAAATTACCCTTTATTTAATGCCCTTTATTTAATTTTGTAATTTAAAATTACTCATAATGCCCTTTATTTAATTTTGTAATTTAAAATTACCAAAATACTTATTGCTTAATTTTAATATAATCTAGTGGTTTAAAATGGACCTCACAGTTTCCACAAATTATCAAAATCTTAAAAGAATGCCCCCATATACATATAAAATACAATTAGACTAATATTATATTTTGTTTTTATAAAAGCGAATTATGGAAGTAAACAAAAACACACACAAAAAAAAACTTTGTTTAACATATTTTTAATGAAATTAACAATTAGGACAATTTTCAGAGTAAAATGAGAACCATAAAAATGTTTTCTATCAACGTTTAAG